CTCCTAGATGTGAACCTGGAGTCAGAGGTTGAATTGAATACATGTTGATATAATGAATAATAGATGCTGCCAGCCATATATTTCATGTAACAGAATATAGTCTCCAACATAGTGATCCACCACTAATTCAAAAACACTTTCTGTTCAGACAAGATACAAATACCTGCTCTTGTTCACAAGACCTACCATCTGATTATGAGTTATAAACTTAGAACCTTTAATGTCTAAGCTGCCTGCATTTAAATATAAAGCACAATCAGAATAACTAAGTGCATCAACCATATTAATTTGCAGTCCTGGTAGGAACTATAAATTTAAAGGCAAGTAATCAATTCACCAAGGAAATAATGTTGATCTTAGCCTTATATCATATTCACCCTGGAATTATTCCACTGCCATTTATCAGAAAGAGAAATATAGCATATGAGACAGCAGAAACCATCAACCATTCTTAAATAGAAGCAATCTTTGCATATGGTTTTCTAGAAATAATGTACTGAACAGGTTCTGAACAGTAAGGAAACACTGAGTCACCATACTTTGTGTTTCCCAGTTCAGGGAATGGAATGAAAGTTTCCTCTTGGGTTTCTGTTCCCCTAATTTATGACAAGGAAAAAAAAAGGTTAGTAGGACACTCCAAGTTGCTACAAGAGAGAGTATTTCCTTTGTCCATGAAATGGTTTTGGGGACTTATCTGGTGACTACATCACTCTCTCCTCTATTGCTAAGACCACTGATGACCTGAAGCTTCTGTTTCGTCGTTTTCTAATTTAGACAGATACTGTGCCTAGTGCATGTGGGTAGGTGTGCTGCTGGAGGAAGTCAGGAGCATTGAGAAATCACAGAACCCACTGCGATAATCTATCACAAGGGTCTCACAGCCTTTCCATAAGAAGGAGGAGAGGAATCATCCTCATCTGCTCTTTAAGAACATGCCCTGTGCAGATTTCTTTGAATGATGGCTCTCAAGATGTTCTGCATTTTTTTCAACATGCATCATCTTCAGTAGGAGTCTAGAAGTGTTATCCCTCGAAAAGTACTTATGGACTTTGAAAGATTTGAATTGATCTTTAAGAAAATCAAGATAACACTCAAAAGCAATTTAATGGTCAGTAAATCGGACTTGTGGGCAAGTCTAAGGTATAGACTATTGACTGAAAAGGAGTGAAGACCAAGAAATTATGAAGACACACTTTTGAACACTCGACTTATTTTAAGAAGATGAAGGTGAAAACCGGGTAACTTGGTATTTATACTTAGCTCTGTTATAAAGAAGACATAAAAGTGGTGGGACACTTCTTTAGCCAGCACAAAATTGGAGTCACCTTACCTTGAACTCATCAGGAGTAGGTCAAACAACCTCACAAAATGACGGTTGAGAATGGGATAAGGGTGCATTGGATTGGATTTTTAGAAAGTCAACTACTCACCTGTTTTCAATTCACCCAATTCAGTTAATATGAGAGGAGAGAGAGAATCTTGACTTAACATTTTCCATTCAGTGGCTCAGTGAACCAGAAACTAGAAAGAGGTGCTCATTTTAAATTTATGGTTTATGAAAGATTGAGGAAGCCTGGATCAAAACTCACAGCCACCTGAAGAAATATCATTCCTCAGAATACATCTGAGAGGGAGCCCCCAAAGAGACTGGTCCTTCACATAACTATCAGTACTATTGGTCCTTATCCAATCCTTTAATTGAAAAGGCTTCCTAGAAGCAATTAGGGAATGAAATCAATCTCCTTTGGCTTAAGACTCAGGCTCTCTTTTGTCTTTTCCCTGTGCCAGTCGCTTCTTGTCATAATTTATGGATGAAATTGGTACAAAAGTTAGAGTTGAGGCTAGAAGTTAAGGTTTCAGTTCAGATTCAGGATAGCATTAAGGAATTTGCCTTAAACTTACATTGATTCTGGTATCTACCAGTGCCTAGAGGATATTTCCATGTGGGTGTCCTTCCACTAGTCAGCATTCTCAAAACCTAATGATCATCCTAAAACACAGATCTTCTTCCCAACTGAACACAAGAGTTTTACCATTATGCTGTCTTCCAACCCAGAAACACTGGACTTTCCCTCTCCCCCTCTATAACTTGTGTATCTCTAAGCCCTGTTAATAATTTGCCAAGAATGCCTCTTAGTCATATCCCACCACCAATCTTCATTATTTTTAAGGTCTTCCTTACCTCATCCCCAGGACAACCAAGTACAGACTCTCACTATCACAACGTGTGTTACATCAAAAGCTGCTAAATAAGCTTTTCTCTTCTTGTCCAATTTATACTACTCATGACCAACAGACAAAAGGTCTCATTGACATCACTGTTTTGCTTTTGAATCTATACTACCCCCTTGCTGGTTTTGAATCAAAGTTAAATCTCACTTGGTTTTGAAGGCCCTTTACAACGTGCATCTCCCTTATCCCAAATACAAGTGCTCTCACACATCCTTGAGCTCTGGACAGATCCTTGGCTCAAGGAGAGCAGTCTCATCGTGGCACAACCATGTACGTGTTGATACTTGTGTGTCCACCCTTGCCACTCCCAACCCTGGAAGACTCAATCTTCTCTACTCTTCCTAACTACACCCAATTCATCCCTCTGGCCTCCACTTAAGTCACTTTGCATCCATCACTTCTCCTGTGACTATACTAACTTCTCAGAGTCTCTCTCTTTACTAGGATCCTCCTGCAACTTAAAATCAATGGCTCGCCACTTAGCACTTGATAAGCTGTGTTCCTACTCTAATTGTTGCCTGTATGTGGACTTCCTCACAACAGCTAGTTCAATATGCAGAAGCTGTTAAATATATGCTTACATCATTAACCTACTAATACCACTAGTGTTCTAGTATACACTAATATGGAAGCACAAAGTAGAGATAGAAAGGGAGATGAATGAGTGTTTACAAAAGTGAAGCTGTTTTGGAACTGAAACAAAGAAGATTGCCATTTTCCAATTATGCCTTGGCTGAGTACCTAGTGTGTGTAGGAAAAGCACTGCTAGATGGTCGTCTTTAAATGGTGTATCTTATTTAATCCTAACGACATCCTTGCTAGGCAGACAATTGACTATATTCATTTGATAGCAAAGAAACTGACTTAGGAAAGGTTATCTGACTTGCCCAAGACTGTCCATATGGTAGATGGTAGAACCAAGGTGCGTCTCTGGGTTTGTCTCACCCTAAATCTAGTGTTATTTTCCCTGTCCAATAAAAGAGAGTTTAAAGATATAAAAACAAAGTAGACTTAAAATAGAGAAGATATACAAAAATTAGAGCATGAAATACTCTCCTGTTATTCTTTTTGTGTGTGAAAGGAAGCCAGCCACGATCTTTCCCAGGCACAGACTTTCACCTTGTCACCTCCCACTTCAAGATTTATGCCTAGACAAAAGGAAATGTGGTTCTCCAGCTGCCAGCCAATGAATATTCCTCTGGGACAGCAGCATCAGCTGCTTGGAGACCTACTTATATATTAAGATGACATCTCTGATAATTTTAAATCAGTACCCCTTCCAAAGATGCACATGGACGAGACAGTTTTCTCTTTCTTATTGAGGATTCCTTATAATTTTTGATAGAAGAAGTCTACATATGAATTAAGAATACCCCATTCCTCACCTTCTATATGGTTTATCCTGTGCAGAGTGGTTATGGGGATGGGAAAGCAATGTCACAGAGATGCTAGGGGACTAGCTAAATGGAATTTGAGAGGGGAGGACATGAAAGAATCTGTGACCTTTGAGTGTAGGCTGAGGAGTCTGGAATTTGTTTGATAGGCAACCAGGAGGCACTGAATTTATTGTGCAGGAGGGTGACGTTATCCTAAGGGGATGCCACAAAGTCTGCTAAGTAGTCATGAATAAAAATAAGTCATTTGTCCTTACTGCAAGCTCATATAGCAGTTGAACAGCAACGTTGATCAAAATTTTTGATTTAAAAAGCATTGGATTTAATGCAATTTGACTTTGGGCAAAATACTTAAATAAGATGCTGAAGCTCAAGTTTCTTCATCTTAAACACATACACACACAAGAAATGATAAAGCCTATCTCCCATTCTCTAGGGGTATCATGGAAAAAGTGAAATAAGGTCTGTGAAAATAGATATAAAACAAATTCATAGGCAGTGAGACTCTATAGAAAGGCAAGTATTTTGTACTACATTTTTATTTTGGGTGAAATGGAAAAACACATCATCAAACCAGGACAACAAAATCTCAGAGTTTTAGAAAGATTGTGACTCACTATTCTTGACACGGAAAGACGTTCAGAGAAAGTTCATTACTTCTCACAACTAGGAGGCTCGTCTTTATATCCAGCCAGATTCCTTAATTCTATAGTTTTTAACCACTTTCTCATGTTCTCACTTCTCTGGAGTTCCAAATGGTTATCGTCTGCTATATGAGAATCTCTCCCATTCCTGACTAATTTTTCTTTGTTTGTTTGTTTGTTTTTGGAAGAAGATTAGCCCTGAGCTAACATCTGCTGCCAATCCTCCTCTTTTTTGCTGAGGAAGACCGGCCCTAAGCTAACATCTGTGCCCATCTTCCTCTACTTTATATGAGGGATGCCTGCCACAGCATGGCTTGATAAGCAGTGTGTACATCTGCCCTGGGATCTGAACCCATGAACCCTGGGCCACCAGAGCAGAGCACATGAACTTAACCGCTACACCATCAGGCCAGCCCCCTGAATAATGTTTTAATGAACTTGTGCTTTATAGTCTAAATTATTCTAGTTTCTTTAGCTTTTTCTCCTAATACAACACTCTACTGCCTTTATAATTTGCCTAATCCAAAGTTAGGAAAAAAAAATTTCTGGTTCCCTAACCATTATTCAAAAAGAGAAAGTTTGATGATCTCTCTAAAGCATGTATACTTTGATTAAATGAAGATGAAGCATATGTTGTTTATTCTGATTAATAATGAACAGAATTGATATATTCCATAGTGATTTTATATAACCACCAAACATTTTAATATTCCATGTGGACTCTTTAAAGACTTCCCTGATGAAAGGAGGACAGCAGCGCTGACAAGACAAGGAGCAGTCCGTTGAATCCAGCGGTATTTTCTGCCAAAGTTGCATGCACTGTCAGAGCAACAGCCTCAGTCATAAGATGCAGCACAGAATCCGTAACGAGCTTCATCTACTGTTCAACCAAATTTTTAATTTGCTTGTGCCTGAGGGGTAATGTGTCTGATTCTCTTCTAGGTTTGCTCTCTGTTATTCTGTCCCTCTGCCTCCCAATTCTGCCCTTAGCTTTAAATTTTAAATTACTTTCCTACAATGTGTCCATTATTTTGTCCTAAATTTCTATCTTCTGTGTGCTTCACGTTGTAGTTCTTGTTGCTGTCCACTTTTAATACCAGTAACTGCTCTGAATTTTAAAATAAAACTGTCACTAATCCTTGTCCAGAGTCAGGGTGTCTGAGCTCGGTTGATGGATCTCTCCCCAACCAGTGTGGATGGATACTTCCTTACTACTCCAAATAAGAGGCCAGGTCTCCACTCCACTTTCCTTGGATTTCTTGATGCCCTAAAATCTGCTGAGGTAACCAGAGAGGGACTGGAAGAAGTCTAACGGCGTGTGTGGTGGAATATTTATGAAAATAGCCCAGATTCTTCCTCCGCCTTAGTCCAGCTCTTGATTTTGCAGCTCTCGCCACCAGGTGGCATCTATTTCCCCACCCAGTGAATCTGGGCCGGCCTTCTGAGTTTCTTGGGGCAATAGAATGTGGCAGAACTGACAGGGTGACAGCTAGGAGTTTGGCCTCAAGAGGCCTTGTGCACTTCCAATCTCTTTGATTCCTGCCACCACCAGGAGGACAAACATGGGTGATTCCCCCGGAACGTGAGAAACGACATGGAAGAGAGCTGACTTATCCCGGCTGAGGGCATTCTAAACCAGCCAGCCCTCAGCTGACCTACCAGCTTGCTGCAAGTGCATGAGGGAGCCCAGCAGAATATCAAAGCCTGGTCAACCCACAGACTCATGAGAAATAGCAAATGGCTATCGTTTTCAAATCACAAAGTTTTGGAGCGGTTTGTTAGGTAGCACTGTTGCAGCAATAGCTAAAAATATAGCATGGTAGGCATCCTTCCTGCTGAGAAGTCAGCAAGTGCAGTGCTGGATGCTGACAAAGTGAAGTCCTTAATGAACAGTAATAGGAAGAAAATTGGCATGGCTTCGGGGCTCAAACCGTGGGTGGTATTCACCTTGGCGAGGGCTAGGAAATCCAAGGGGCAGGTCTCAGTCCCACTAAGCTGCAGGGAACTTGAACAATGCCCCTCCCGACCTTCCTTCCCAGAACTCATCCAACCAGTTCTTGGACCCTTTCCCATCTTATAAACTTTCTCGAAAACGTCTCCCAGGATCTCGAGGCCCTCCTAGTTAGTCCCTCCTTCCTATGACCTCTGTTTAGAAAATTGTTTTCTTTTCCTGAGAAAGCAGTTCCTTGTTCTACTTTCTCAGGTCTATTCTTTGCTAGGTCTTTCACAGTGGGAATCAATGGATCAGTGCTCCCAGATCCCAGATCACTGGGAACTCCAAAGGGCAGGGAGGGTTGACCTTCAGAGGTTGGGGCTCTATCCAGTGCAGCAAAGCAAGAAAAAAAAAAGAAGGAAGATTTTGTATTAAAAGATTTAACATTCATATCCTGCCATTTTGTATTAAAAGTTGTCCCCGAGAGATTACACCTAAGATGTTAAATCTAAGAGTTAAATCTAAGATGATGTCACCAAAGCCAGCCTTCTTAACCTTGCTTGGTGCACACACGCCGTTAAGATTTAATATTGCTCATCACATTCCTTCAGGATGAAGCTGAACCACACAAAACACATTGAATTTTCGCTGTGATCCTGTGACACTTGGATTATACTTCTATTGCAATCTTCTCTTCCTGTGTCATAAATAGAAACTGAAGTTCATTTATTCCTTTCTAGTCTGAAAACAGGTCAGTTTTGATTTATTTGCGTGTCCTTGGTGTTTGGCATGTGACCTAGAACACATAGGTGCACACTGCATTTTTGTTGAATGAGTGTGTAATTAAAGGAGTCTTTAGATTCTGGCCATGACCCTTGTCAAGTTTATTCATACTCTAATTAGCCCATTTTATGTTTCTTGCTTGTCCTCTTCTACTCCTGCCCAGCATGATACTGCTATTTTCTCCATAATTTCTCAGATCTTGATTTTTCTTTGTTCTTCCGATGTTCTTCCTTTCAATTAGACTTACCTTCCTTTCTCTCTCTCTCTCTTTTTTTTTTTTTTTTTGAGGAAGATTAGCCCTAAGCTAACATCTGCTGCCAATCCTCCTCTTTTGGCTGAGGAAGACTGGCCCTGAGTTCACATCCGTACCCGTCTTCCTCTACTTTATATGTGGGACACCTACCACAGCATGGCTTGCCAAGCAGTGCCATGTCTGCACCTGGGATCCAAACCGGCGAATCCTGGGCCGCCGCAGCTGAACGTGTGCACTTAACTGCTGCACCAACGGGCCGGCCCCTTCCCTTCTCTTTTTGATCGTCTCTACCAGGTCATGAACAAAGTCAGGCTCACTGAAAGCATTTTGTATAGCATCTTATATACCTATTGGGTCCAAGAAATACCAATTTGGGGCAATTTTAATAAATATTGTTTTTTAGAAACATTGATTAAATGGTACCTTGTCATAAGACTTTGCCTATCCTTTAGTTAGATTCACACTGCAAATCTTCAAAAGGAGAACATAATATGTACAATTTCTCAAATATATTAAATAAGAGAACTTTTGTTATGGAACAGCTCATGAAACTTGTCTTCTTCAGATGCATTCTGAGTTGCCCTGCTCTGGGCTGTTTATTTTATCAGTTGTCTTAAAGTTGTATTCAGGACTCATGTAACAATGACTTCTTTTCCATAAATGCATGCCCAGCATATTTCTCTCCACCTCTGCCATGTCCTTACAGAACACTGAACTCTCCGGTTTCAGAGGTTGGGGAATGAGTGTCACTAAAGACAACAGTTCAGATAGTTAAAAAATAAAGTTTGGGAACAACTTTTTACTCTTATTCAAGACTTTTTATTCTCTTTAAAATTTTACTAAAAAAAAAAAAATCAGAGACTGTAAAAGAAGGTTGATCATTGAACTACCAGAAAACTCCCAAACCTTGTACAGAAATGGAGTGACTTTGCATCCTTTCTTCCACAGTTTATGATGGTTAGTTCTTGGCATTTTTTCTCTCTTTATCCTTCCTTGAACAATGCTGTGGGATTTTGTGTGCCTGTTTTTTTGATTGAATGAATTAATGAATATTAATCTTATACTAATATCACAGATAAAGTAGAGATGCGCATTCACCCATACTTGCTGACACAGCTATATAAATGTAAAAACTCTCACAGTGAAAGCAAAAAAACAAATATCTCAGAGTGTCTGAGATATATCATATCTGCGACAGCAAGTGTTATAGGCTGAATTGCATCCCCCAAAATTAATATGTTGAAGCTCATAACCATCAGCACATCTCAGAATGTGACTATTTGGAGATAAGGCCTTTAAAGAGAAAATTAAGGTCAAATGATGTCATAAGGTCAAATGACTAGTATCGTTATAAGAAAAAGTGACTCCAGGTATGGACATGCACAGAGATAAGGCCACTCGAGGACCCAGAGAGAAGTTGGCCATCCTCAAGCCTGGGAGAAAGGGCTCAGGAGAAACCAAACCTTGACGCCTTGATCTTGGACTTCTAGCCTCTGGAATTGTGAGAAAATAAAGGTCTTGTTTAACTCGCCTAGTCTGTGGTATTTTGTAATGGAGCCCTAGCAAACTAATGCAGCAAGTAACCAACCAATTGCCCAAACATGCAGGTAATCACTTGGACTTGTTGCCTTGTCCTTAGATGCTTATAGGAATTAAGAACTAGAATGAGACCGCAGCTTTTAAGGCTAGACTCTCTGACTAACTGCATAACCCTGAGCAAGCTATTTAAAATCCCTAAGACTCATCAGTACGAGGGCTGATGGCAACACTGCTTCTCAGTGCTGTTGTGAAGATGAAATGAGATAATAAATGTAAAAATGTTTATTAAGCACAGTTCCCGGAAGCATATAACAAGGACTCAGTACAAGTTACCCATCATCATTATTATTGTTATTATATTAGTATGACTTAATAAAACCAGAAAATTCAATTCCCCTATGCAGATTCCTATCTTTGAAAAGCTTTTAAAATACAAAGTGGCAGAAAGTCCCAGCCTCAGACTGTTTGTTCCTTCTGTTATGAAATTGGAAGGACATTTATTAGAATCAATTTATAAAAGTTTGCAACCCTTCTGAGTTGGTGGGGGAGGTTTGGGCAATAGTGACATTTTCCAAGCCATTTATTAAAGTTAGCCTATGATATTTGCAGTCATAAACCAATAAATAGTTAACAATTATTTCTAAGGTTCTCTGATCAAACAGCCTGGTAACATTTTATATATAGGCTCAGAATGGTCTCTTAAAATCTGCGACACCCTTCAGAAGAGAGCTCTGCAAGCTCACCTACACATTTCCTGTTTTGTCACCTACTTATCACTCTCACAGTGAAAGCAAAAGGGTCAATATCTGAACAACAGTCGGAACATGAAATTTCAGAATTCTGGGAGCAAATGTGAGGCCATAGGAATACAAAATTGGAAACAGAGAGAAAGAAGCTGCTCTTAGCGAAGCTTTTCCCAGGCATCCTGGAATTCAGAGCAGGGCCTGTTTAGTGCAAGGTAAATTGGGTTTCAAATCAATGCCCTAATTTACATAAAAGAAATAAAGCAGAAAAACAAGAGCACATAAATTTAAAGGGTAAAAAGATGCACAGCATCTCATGTATTTAAATAAGACCACTTACTGGATTTATTTTGGAGACATTGATTTGCTCAATTTTCACCAATTGCTTAAGAATGTCTGTTTGCAATTATGTTTACCACCATCCCTGCCCTGACTTTGCTACATTCTGAAACCCAAATTTGAGAATTTGGGATTTGGATTCAGTCTGGGTTGAAATCGTCAATCACCCTTTACTAGACGTGTGGCATTGGGCAAGTCATTTAACCCACTATCACTCAATGTACTCACCCATGAAATGGACAAAAATATCGTACTGTTACAATAGAAGTAACCTAACATTGTCTCATTCATGTGAAGTATTGAGCACATTGACTATATGAAAAACATTTAGTAAACATTAGGGATTATTATTATCATCAAGATACTATCACACCCAATCGATCTTTGACCATATCGCTTCACTCTGTATACAGCTTACACACAAAGGATCCTTTTCCTGAACGTAATTCACCCTCTCTATCCCCTGGATTGCAATATATGGTCTGATATTAGGAAGAAAATTTGAAATGAGCAGCGAGTTAGCCATTGATGATTAAGTAGCTAGGAACTAAAGGTTTTTTTCCT